GAACCCAGCAACACCATCAGGGTAGTGCCCAGGACACATTATCCATTAGATCTCTCATCAGACAAACCAGAGGGAGCGCAGGGCTGAACATCTGCACCTCCGCCAGAGCAGTACTAACTCCAGAGATGGGAGTTCAAATCATTCCCACAGGGGTAAAAGGACCTCTTCCCCAAGGAACAGTAGGCTTATTATTGGGATGCAGTTCTTCTACTCTAAAAGGACTTATGATAACTCCTGGGGTAATTGATCCCAATTATGAAGGTGAAATAAAAATTATAGCCAGTTCTCCAAGGGGTATATCAGTAATTTCACCAGAAGATAGAATAGCACAGTTATTAATAATACCCATCCTACATGATAAATTTTCCAGCCGTACTATAGAAAGAGGTTCCAGGGGATTAGGCTCCCCAGGTGTAGATTGGGCTATGCTTTCTTTAAATTTAGATTCTCGCCCCATGCTAAAACTAAATATTCAAGGACATGAATTTAATGGGATACTGGATACAGGTGCAGACCTTAGCATCATCTCTCGTCAAGAATGGCCAAAACATTGGCCATTACAACAAGCCACTCAAACGCTTCGAGGCCTAGGAGTGGAAACTAATCCCCATAGAAATGCAATGGTATTAGATTGGAAGGATCCTGAAGGATGTGAAGGAACTATACAGCCATATGTATTGGATCATCTTCCTATAAATTTATGGGGACGAGATGTCCTAGATCAATTAGGTTTGACATTAACAAATAACATCAATCCAAATGTGCCCACTATTATGGCTAGACAAGGTTTTAGGAAAGGAAAAAGATTAGGAGAACAAGAACAAGGTATAGCAGCACCAATACAAATAGATCAAGGAACAGACAGACATGGATTGGGTTTTCAGGAGGGGTCACTGAGACAATAAAAATTACTTGGAAATCAGAAAGGCCAAATTTGGGGGCCAACAGAGGTGAGGCAAAGAACCTCACCCCCCAACTGGTGCAAAGGCCTATCCACAAGTATGGCTGTATGCTGGACTGGTAGTCAATGACAGGTAAGATCCAATTGCAGTGGTACCAACCTAAGACAGGAGGCTGACGCCTTGAGGTCAGCTCATCCGATGACAGGTAAGGACCATATGTAGTATTGGACAACCTAAGACAGGCACAGTCCCTAAGCCATATGCTTGGTATTTAATTAAACAGAAGGGGGGAGATGCTGAGAGCCAGAGCCGAGTCGGAATGGCCCCTGGCATTTTGCCAGAAGTAATGGTTGCAAGGCGAGTCATTAAGATGATGATAATTAAGTTAAGCTGTCTATAATTGCTGTGACTGGATGATGCTGGATTGAAACAGGCTGTGTAGTCAATTGTATATAGACCCCTGCTGTCCACCTCAGGTGCCCACTACTTTGGAGTTCTCGCAGGGATTCCTGGGGAGTTCGCGTTGGTTGGTGAAGTTCTGGTGGAGGGAATTCCAGTTGGTGTGTGGTGTCCCTGGTAGGGCCGCATGGATGGCGTTTGGGGGAGTTAAGAAATAAAGTTTGTTCCTGCTTGAGTGGCTCGTGATTTGTGCCCAGCCAGACTGCGGCATGCCAGCTATTGGGGTGCCATGGAATAAGGCCTGGCAACTGAGATGTGCCCCAGAGACAACATCAAACCCAATGGAAATGGTCAATTTCTAGGGGTGACTTTTAGTCCTGAGCTCTAGGCCTCCAGTCATTTAATAGTTTGAGGTGTGTGTGTGTGTCTGTTATTAGGGTCTGTAAACAAGTCAAGATGGCGCCTGGCATTTTGCCAGAGGGAGTGGTTTGTGAAGTAACGCCAGAGAGCCATTAAGTGTGGAGATTCCCTATTGGTTGACTGCTGTATCTAGTTTATGTTAATTAAGATAAGCTGTGTGTAATGTATATATACCCCTCCTGTCCTACAATAAATGGCTCCCACTCCTGCTGTATCAATGTACACAAGTTACTCGTCACCTCCCGGTTATTTTGCTGCAGCCGGACTGCAGCAGTCTGTGTGTGTTATCATAGTTTCTCAAGTTTAGAATAATACCTACGAACTTAGAGACCTCTGAAAACTAGAGCCTACTACAAACCTTCTGAAACTGAGAAAGTGTTGTGACTCCATTTTTGAGAAACCTGCCTACCTTAGAGCAAAGCCTGTCCAAGGAAGGGGGCGTGACCCTTGTCCTTGGAAAAACCCACAGAGCACTCCTAAACACTACCCACCCTGCTGAGTTGTTTGTCTGCAAATAACAGGAGAAATCTCAGGCGCCAGGCATCCCTGACTCAGTTAGGCTAGGTGAGGACCCATAGCAACCCCCAGCAACCACCAATCAGAATGAGACAGGGAAAATACCTGGATGCCAGATGACCCCCCAGTAGTTTATGGTGGTAGATAACATGTTGGGAAACCATGTTGTTTAGCACGTACACTCCTCACGGATTAAAACACTCCTGGCGGATTAAACCAATCGGTTCAAACGAATCTCCCTCTTGTACTAACCAATCACCCCATCCAACTTGTTCCCGCTAGTGAATGTGCTAATAATCAATGTTAAGAGTTGTTGTTTGACTTTCCCGAAGTGTGAAATGATTTGCTGTGTAATGTTGTGATGCATAGAGTATCCCAAAAAAACCTATAAATCCTCACTGAACAAAGGACCAGGACTTACTCCTCGGGACCACTGCATCGGAAATGGTTGTGAGTCCAGGCTCAAGCTTGCAATAACAACTCTTGTGTGATTGCACCGGATTTGGCTCCTGGAGGTCTATTTGGGTCCCACAAATCTGGCATTACAAAACTATATTGCGGTCGTATTCCTTAACACCTTTACTCTGTAGGACTCCTTCCTTCCAAAAGAGCAGAGTACCATCTGAGAGCAACTTCCGTGCCACCTAGAAAATCCCATCAGGAAGTTCCTGCAGAATCTTTTGTGTTGCTCCATACTGTGTCCTCTGTTATCTGCCCACACCGGATGTTAAAGTTGACTTTTTTATATATTCTTTTTTATGTTCTAGTTAACATGTTGGCAACCCCCTTTTTTGTTTCCTAAGTTATGGTTATATTTTCTTTTCTGGACTTTGTTGTGGGGAGAGACCCAGGGGCCAGAGAATTAGCGCAGATGTGTGCTAATCTCATCCCAAGGAGCAGTCAGCACAGTCACAGGCGGTAGGCCCCGTATTCTTTGCTAACTAGTCTAATGGTACCTGTGAAGGTAGCATGAATGTGCTGGGTTCTGAACCTGTTTCCATCACTCTTTGTACTTAGCCCAGCTTCAGCATTCTGTATTCTAGAGACAATAAATAGTGAACACTTTGACACACTAAGGGGATAATGAGACCAGATCTGTAGTGCTCACTGACAAACCAATGGGGTCTTCCTAGTGGAAAAGGAGATTGGCCATGAGCATGCCAAGAAGCAGTAGTGTGGCTTTGTCATAGTGTGACTGTTCATGGTAGACTTTTGTTCCCACTGTGGTAGCTTCTCGTACAATTGATGGGAGGTCCTAAGACCCATAACAGTGGTCACAGAGCTCTCACCCTGCTTGGCTGTGTAGGCAGACAATACTAGAACAGGAATGGAGCTCCAGGGCAATATTATTAATGACCTGGTGTACATCCAGCCTTGACATTTCTCGGGCATATACCAAGTGAATATTTGGAAAAATACCAAAGTATTAATAAAATGAGAATAAGTTTTGGCAAAAAAAAAAAAAGAGTGAGAGAAAAAAAATAAATAAAATGAGAATAGTTTTACCAAAAAATAATGCTGTGGTCTGAATGTTTATGTTTCCCCTGAAACTTATATGTTGAAATCTAACCCCCAACATGATGCTATAAGGAAGTGAGGCCATTGGGAAGGAATGCAATCAATGCCTTTATAAATGAGACCCCAGAGGCTGGGTATGGTGGTGCAGACCTATAATCCCAAGGACTTGAGAGCCTGAGGCAGAAGGATCCTACATTTGAGGCCAGCCTTAAAAACGTATTGAGACCCTAAAACAAAAATAGAGACTGGGACTGATGTAATTCTGCAATCTGTATATGGGGTAAAAATGGGAGTTCATAACCCATTTGAATCAAAGTGTGAAATATGATATATCAAGAAATTTGTAATGTTTTGAACAACCAACAATAAAAAATTTAAAAAAAAAAATAGGGACTGGGGTTGTGACTCAGTGGTACAGCACTTGCCTAGCATGTGTGAGGCACTGGGTTTGATTCTTAGCACCACATATAAACAAATAAAAAATAAAGGTCCATCAGCAACTAAAAAAAAATATTTAAAAAATTATAAAGGGTGGGGAAGCTGGAGATGTAGCTCAGCGATTAAGCACCCAGTATCAAAAGAAAAAAAGAAAGAAAAAACCCAGAAAGCTAACTTGCCCCTTCCAGCATATGGACACAGCAAGTAGATACTGTCTATAAACCAGAAGGCAGGCCCTCACCAGACACCAAATTGCAGTGCCTTGAGCCTGGACTTCCCAGCTTCCATAACCAATCAAAATCCTGTTGTTTATAAGCCACCCAGTTTATTATTATTCTATTATAAAAGTCTGAAGAGACTAAAACACTCAAAAATATCTGCATTTTACCACTGATTTGAGGGCATCCTTAGAAAAACTTAATATAACTAAGTGGAGCCTAAATATTAGTAGTATTGTATCTGTGTTTAATTCCTTGAATCTGATATCTGTATATAGTTATTAGAGAACAACCTTGATCTTAAGAAAAACATGTTGAAGTATGCAGGTCTATAAGTGTAAAAGGTTATGATAACTGTCACTCACTCTTTTTTAAAATTTTTTAGTTATGGATGGACATATACCTTTATTTATTTTTTATGCAGTACTGAGGATCAAACCCAGTACCTTACATGTGCAGGGCACACACTCTATCACTGATCCACAATCCCACCCCCTATCACTTTTAAATATAAGTTCAGCAAAATAATAAGAGTAATGAGCAAGAAAGAGAAAAAATTTGGACAAATGCTAATAATTGTAGGATCCAGGTAAAGGATATGTAGTGTTCATTATATGATTCTTGCAACTTTTCTATAAGTTTGAAAGTTTTTAAAATACAAACAAAACACATCAGAGTCAATAGAGTCAAACATTTGATTGATTTAGAATATTGTCAAAAACAGCAATGAAGAAACTCGCCAGACTATAGTCAGTACATGTTTTGTGGGCCTGTTTCTGCTCAGGATTGTCTTGGTAAGTCCAAAGTACCTGTGGATAGAAGCACAAAGTTAAATGTTGTGTTCCCTTATAAAACTAACAGGGCCCAGGGTAGTGGTGCACATATGTAATCTAGGGAGGCTGAAGCAGGAGGATCTCAAATTCAAGGTCAGCCTGAGCAACAAGGTAAGTCCCTGTCTCAAAACCCAAACCAAACCAAACAAAAAGACTAATGGTTATCAAATCAATATACTCAACTCTCAATGCACAGCTATGACATCTGCCCAGGGGACCAGCTTGGGCAGTAGACACATCCATTCTAGGAGAGGCTTGGCTTTCTCTCCTCTCCATGTGAAGTCTCTCAAAAGCCTGATCTTCTGGATCCCTCCAGTTTTATACTGTTTTTTGAAGTTTCTTTGACCCACCTAAATGGAATAAACTATGTAACAAGGGCTCTGCGGGCTGCCAGTTGTCAAGTTCCTCCACCTCTCTTATCTCGTTCTTCAAATTATTGGCCTTCTCCTTCACCCAGAAAGGCAAGCTGCAGAAAGAAGACAATACTCTGAGTTTGAATTTGTCTTTTGTGAAATTTACAAGCACTACTAGTGGATAAGAAGGCACTATGCAAAAGCAAATGAAATAAAGTAAGAGTGCAATTTTTTTTATGTCAGTGGTACCAGGGGTTAAACCCAGAGGTGCTCTACCACTGAGCTACATCCTCAGTTCCTATTTATTTTTTTATTTTGAAGTAGGGTCTCATTAAGTCACCCAGGTTGCCAACCTAACAAAAGAGGTGAAAGACCTCTACAATAAAAACTACAGAATACTAAAGAAAGAAATTAAAGAAGACCTTAGAAGATGGAAAGATCTGATCTCCCTTGTTCTCGGACAGGCAGAATTAATATTGTCAAAATGACCATAATACCAAAAGCATTGCACAGATTTAATGCAATTCCAATCAAAATCCCAATGACATTCCTCACAGAAATAGAAAAATCAATCATGAGATTCATCTGGAAAAAAATAAGAGACTCAGAATAGCCTAAGCAATCCTTAGCAAGAAGAGTGAAGCACGTGACATCACAATACCAGACCTTAAACTGTACTACAGAGCAATAGTAACTAAAATGGCATGGTATTGGCACCAAAATAGACTTGTAGACCAGTGGTACAGAATAGAGGACACAGAGACAAACCCATAAAAATACAGTTATCTCATACTAAACAAAGGCATCAAAAACATATATTGGAGAAAAGATAGCCTCTTCAGCAAATGGTGCTTGGAAAACTGGAAATCCATATGCAACAAAATTAAATTAAACCCCTGTCTCTCATCATGCACAAAACTCAACTCAAAGTGGATCAAGGACCAGAGACCCTGTGCCTAATAGAGGAAAATGTAGGCCCAAATGGTCATCAAGTCAGATTAGGCCCCGACTTCCTTAACAAGACTCCTAAAGCACAAGAAATAAAATCAAGAATCAATAAATGGGGGCTGGGGTTGTGGCTCAGTGGTAGAGCACTAACCTAGCATGTATGAGGCACTGGGTTTGATTCTCAGCACCACATAGAAATAAATTAATAAAATAAAGGTATTGTGTCCATCTACAACTAGAAAAATATTTAAAAAAGAATAAGTGGGATGGGTTCAAATTAAAAAACTTCTTCTCAGCAAAAGAAACAGTGAGGTGAAGAAAGAGCCAACAGAATGGGAGCAAATTTTTACCACACACACATCAGATAGAACACTAATCTCCAGGATATATAAAGAACTCAAAAACCTTAACACCAAGCTGGGGAGTTGGTAGCTCAGTTGGTAGAGTGCTTGCCTTGCATACCCGAGGCCCTGGGTTCAATTCCCAGCACCAAAAAAAAAAAAAACAAGAAAGAAAAAAAAAAACAAAACCTTAACACCAAAAAAATAAATAAATAAATAACCAATAAAAAATGGGCTAACTGAGGGCTGGGGTTGTGGCTCAGCAGTAGAGTGCTCACCTAGCACGTGTAAGGCCCTGGGTTTGATCCTCAGCACCACATAAAAAATAAATAACTAAAATCTATATATAAAAAATGGGCTAACTGAACAGACACTTCCCAGAAGACATACATTCAATCAATAAATACATGAAAAAATGTTCAAGATCTCTAGTAATTAGAGAAATGAAAATCAAAACTGCTCTTAAGATTTCATCTCAAACCAGTCAGAATGGAAGTTATCAAGAATATAGACAACAGTAAATGTTGGCAAGGATGTAGGGGAAAAGGCACACTCATATATTGCTGGTGGGACTACAAAATGGTACAACCTAGCTGGAAAGCAGTATGGAGATTCCTTAGAAAACCTGGAATGGAACCACCATTTGACCCAGCTATCCAACTCCTTGGTCTATACTCAAAGGAATTAAAAACAGCATACTACAGTGACACAGCCACATCAACGTTCATAGCAGCACAATTCACAATAGCTAAACTTTGGAACCAACCTGAATGCCCTTTAATAGATGAATGGATAAAGAAACTGTGGTATATATACACAATGAAATATTACTCAGCATTAAAAGAGAATAAAATCATTGCATTTTCAGATAAACAGATGGAGTTGGAGAATATCATGCTAAGTGAAGTAAGCCAATCTCAAAACCCTAAAGGCTAAATATTTTCTCTGATAAGTGGATGCTGATCCATAACAGGGCAGGAGGCGGGCATGGGAGGAATGGAGGAACTCTGTATAGGACAAAGGGGAGGGAGGAGTAGGAAGGAGGCATGGAGTTAGGAAAGATGGTGGAATGAGACAGACATCATCACCCTAGGTACATGTTTGTTGACAAAAATGGTGTGACTCTACTTTGTGTACAACCAGAGAAATGAAAAAAGTGTGATCCATTTGTGTACTATAAATTGAAATGTATTCTGCTGTCATGTATAACTAATTAGAACAAATAAATTAAATAATATTTTTAAAAAGTTGCCCAGGTTGGCCTTGAACTTATTGATCCTCCTGCCTCAGTCTCCCATGTAGCTAGGATTATAGACTTTGCCTGACAGGAGTTTAGTTATAATATCTGACTATATCTGGTTATAGCTTAAAGTATACTTAAGGCAGAAAGCATTAAATAAAAAATACAGATTTTTTATGATGTTAAAAAACACAGTTTCTGGGAATATAGCTCAGTTCGTAGAGTACTTGCCTTGCATGCACAAGGACCTGGGTTCAATCCCCAGTACCACAAAAAAAAAGAAAAATTAACACCAAGCTAGAAACACATGAATATACAAACATTTTACCACACCAACTCTCAGTCTAAGCTAGGTCAAGTGGAACAAAATGAAATAAGGAAGTATAGGGACTAAATAACACAACCAATAAGACTAAACAACACAACACGTGTATCTAACTTTGCATCTGATTAAATAAAATATAGATTTTTTCAAGCATAGTTCATGTGGAAACTGTCACATTTACTAATGATACCTGCCCTACGTTGATTGTAAGGTGCATCCTGATTTCAAAGTTGTTAAAGTGTCCTAATATAACACACATCATAATATTTTTTCCTTGGGTCTACAGTAACGGGACTGGCCTTCCTTCTATTCTTTGCTGATAAACTTCACTTACCATCTAGGACCCAGATTAAATATTGCCTCCTCTACAACATATGCCCAATTTTCCCCCATACATATGCCCTCTACTCTACACATTGTACCATATGAACTGTTTTATGATTACTTATTTACAGGTCTCTTCCCCCATTGGACAATTATACATGAAACATGCATTATATCTTACTCCTCACTCTGACCTCTCCCTCCATCACCTCACCACTTTTCCATTCCTCTTGTAACCCAAGGGCACAAATGGCACTCTATTGATATCTGTTGAGCTGATTAAATAATTCCCATAGACATATTGCAAATTACAGTACTATTCAATAACTAATCTCACCTCCCTAATTCGTATTCTAATTCTGGATTTGTCTCTAACTAGCTAGAGACAAAGCAAGGAAGACTGGGGAAAGTCATAGAAGATATTCAGTTATCAGGATTTGTCCTCATCTTGAAGTTAGATTGTTGCATTTACAGATTTAACATTTTTAATTTCTAAGCACAGTGAGGGATTGTTTGTTTGTTTGTGGGGGTTTTGTTTGTTTATTTTTTGGCCCTAGGTATTGAACCTAGGGGCGCTCTACCACTGAACTACATCCCCAGCCCTTCTTAGGTTGTCCTTTCAGACAGGTTCTCACTAAGTTGCCCAGGCTGACCTCAAACTTGGAGTCTTTCTGTCTCAGCATGTGCCACCATACTAGACTCTAGCCAGCACGATATTTAAAGATGTGAATAACTTCTTTCACTTATGATGGGGTTTGAACCCAAGGGTATCCTACCACTGAACTACACCTCTAGCACTTTTTTTTAAGACAAAGTCTCACTATTTTGCTAAGACTGGCCTTGAACTCCTGAGATCAAGCAATCCTCCTGCTTCAGCCTCCTGAATAGCTGAGGTTATAGGCACCCACCACAAAGCCCAGCTGATGTGAATAATTTTAATGAGAGCAATGCAATTGCACAAAACTGATTTACCAAATAATTTGGGAAAGGGAAAAAACACCTATAAATTTTATTCATAGGTAATAAGGTGGCTTTAACTAGAAAACTGAACAAAATGTATGAAACAATTGCCATCAGACATGATACAACACAAGATTGTGGTCTTAGAGAAAAGGAAAACAAATGAGAGTCCTATGATCACCCAGCTTTTTCAAGGAGACATGCATTCCATACCACAGAGCAGAGATGGGCAATCCCAAGCACACCATGATATTCTGTCTAAGTTCAAAGGACCAGAGATCAGAGATCAGAGTTGGAAGCTACAGAGCAGAGTCCTGGAAAAGAAGACACTGTATAGAAAATGAGCTTTGGAAATTTACATGTCAGTCCCTCTGAGTCTTTGCTGAATATTAATGTTTAGGATAGAACTTCACAAAACATAGAGTGATTGTGAACTGAATTATTCTCATGGCTCACAAAGGGGTCAAAGTCATGGAAGTTCCTACCATAAAAGTGAAGACTCGCTAATCAGTGAAGGCATTCAGCAAAGACCCTAATAGGGCTATACCTCAGTATCGGTGTTACAGTATCTTTAGACTAAATTCTACTTTAGACATACCCTAACAAATTTAAAAATAAAACTAAGGCCGGAGCTGGAGCTCTCATTGTAGTGTTTGCATAGAACATACAAGGATCTAGGTTTAATTCCTGCCATCCCACAAAAAAAAAAAAACAAAAAAACAGGAAGAACAAAAAGGAAAGACCCATGGATCATACAATACAAATAATAATAAAAAATAAAAGTAAAAAGATCATAAAACTGCAAGCGATTTAATTTCCTGCTAGATTAAATCCAGTCATTCAACAATGTGAAATTACGATGTCCAGTATCCCAACAAAAATCACTAGACATGCCAAGAAGAAAGAAAACATAATCATAACTAGGGGAAAAATCATTCAGTAGAAACAGACTGAGAAATGACAAGCAATCATTGAGTTCAGACAAAAATGTTACAATAGCTATTAAAACTATATTCAATTTTTTAGGGAAAATATGAAAATAGTGAGGAAGGAAATAAAAGATATTTAAAAATCAAATGAAATTTCTAGAGATTAAAAATGCAATAGTCATTAAATGGGAATAGCAGGAAATTAGAGTGCCAAAGAAAATAATGAACTGAGAAAACAACAAATGGTAAATCCATCAACAGAATTTGAAACCATAGGCTTTCCTATCTCCTGCCATGACTAACAGATTGGCAGATATTTCATTCAGGGTAACTGTCCAGGGAAAGGGCCCAAGTTTCCCAATTCTCTTACTGACCACAGCTCAAAAGAATATGTTGGTCTACAGTGTTTTGTCCTTCTCAAAAATAAAAAATACTTACCTTTGTTTTAAGAAAACCAAGCACATTGCTATTCTATTTATCCATGCAATATGAATTATGCATGGATATGAAAATATGAAAAGCAACATACAAAAATTAAAATAGGGACTGGGGTTGTGGCTCAGCGGTAGAGTGCTTGCTTATTAGCACATGCGAGGCCTGGGTTCAATCCTCAGCACCACATGTTAATAAATAAAATAAATAAAGGTATTGTGTCCAACTACAACTAAAAAAAAAATAAATATTAAAAAAAGCTAAAATAGTTGGGTAGGATGATGAGATTTAGGCAATTATTATTTTGAATATTCTAGAATAGTATTTTTTAAAATGTAGAGTACGAGCATAAACCCTAAGTATGTGCTGTAAGTAATAATGCAACATAAGGAAGGTATTAAGGCTCCCAAGTTTGTGGGCTGCGGTTGTGGCTCAATGGTAGAGTGTTCACCTAGCACATGTGTGGCCCTGGGTTTGATCCTCAGCACTACATAAAAATAAATAAAATAAAGGTATTGTGTCCATCTAAAACAAAAAAAATATTTTTTTAAAAAAAGCTCCCAAGTTTGAAATAAAGGGCATATATTCTCCCACTGAGCTCCGGGTTTGTTTCAACCACCCTGAACTCTGGTAGGTCAGACTCTTGGATATTTGCTTACTTTATCCATACTTATATGTTTGTGTTAGAAAGCAAAAGAATGAAAAAAAGATAGATCTTTCTCTCTTTTTCAATACTCCTCCTCAGTCAGAAACCTACTTAGGTAAATAAATTAGGTTCAGAGGGGAGCTGAATAAATGTATAAAGGCAGAGGAATGATGGTCCCCTCAGATACAGGAGTGCTCTGCTACTTTCTCTCTGTTCTGGAAGCAAAGAGCCTGTCTATTTGCTCCATGTAAACTCTCCTATCATGCACACCTAACACAGCAAACGGATGTGATCATTTGCTAATCACATCTCTTGAATATATGCCCATCCCAGTGGCCAGATGCCACAAACACTTGACCTCTATGTGTCCCTTCAAATGCCCTCCTCACAAATTACCCCACCCTACTGCCGAATTCAAAAGGTCCCTAGGTGTTGATTGTTACAGACTCCTCAATAGGAGGAAATAATAAATAACTAATGTTTTCATAAAGATGAGATAACATAAAATTTGGTGAGAAACTCACTTGGGAACTTGTGGAAGAGGCTCAAGTGGAATAAATGTATCAAATTTCTTTTCATAAGGCACTCTGAAAAACAGAAAAAGCAACCATAAAATTGATATGGCTTTCAACAGCATAGAGATTAATAAATTATTATGTTCAAAAATGTCTTGTTTTCCTGTTTTAATTTTCAAATACAACCTTCAAAAACTCTAAAGGTTATAACTTTTATATTTTTATTATCTCTAATCAAAATTATTATATCTCACATGGTTAATTTTTAACTTTTATTTTAAATGCGATGCTGCAACTGTTTTAATGTAGTGATTCTCTTGTTCTTCTAAATCACTAGGGCCTAAGTTTACTTCCAAGTTTAAATCAACCAAGTAGTCAGTAACCAACAATCTAATTTCGTATAAAAATTCAAAAACCTAGAAATAGGGAAAAAAATGACAACCACTTTTTTTCAGTCAAGACCTTGCGTACAGTTGTAGACACATCTTGAAGTATCACACTGTACTCCATAAACATGTGCAATTACTATGTGTAAGTTGAATTTTTTAATTCTTTTCATCTTGTGTATTTTGTAATTTCACATTGTGCATATACACTAATTAACTAAAGATAAAAATTTCACCAGATTATGTCTTGCTGAGATACACCCCTTTAAAAATATAATTTATATGTAGAAGATAGACATAAATCCTTTAAAGTCAACAAAGTAACTCTGGAATTAACACGCACTCACAATGAAAAGTTCACTGGTGGCAGAGTGGATCCTACTTTGTGGAAGCCTTTACTCTGTTCTGGGAACATATACGGATTGTCCCCTGGAGTGAACTCTGGAATTCCATTCCTAGAATCAATACCTGCAGAGAACATTTGAAAACAACATCACACAAAGGAGTAGAGATGACCCCCAAGTTAGCTCTCTAAGTAGCAACGTGACAATGGAAACAGACTGTCTTCGTGTTTTATTATGAGTTACATAGAGGCTTCCTGAAGTCCTATTTGTGATTATCTTGCCTTGAGGAGATGAAGATAAAAGTGTGAGCCTGGATTTGGAACATTTTCTAAATGGTGTTGTTAAGATTTCCTCACCTTGGGAAAAAAGAACAAGCTTGGGTTCAGATGCAATGTTTTGGTTCAAAATATACAGTAAATGAGAGGTATCTTTGCGACGATTCAAAAGGTGTCTAACGTTAACATCTTTTCATTAGTGCACCTGAGCCTTACTGCACTTTGAATCCCTGAGTCTTAGAAAGTCCAAGAAGCAGTTGTCCTTGGGGTTCTGCCCTCTGACTGGGTCTCAGGAGGAAAACAGCTCATGAGTGTCCTGATCTCCTGCTTCAAAGTTAGGGTGGCTCTGCATCAGGAGGTGCCTTCCTGGTGAAGAGCTGTGAAGAAGAGGTCTGCTGCTGTTGGGTGTGCCCTGTTCTCTGGGCCCATGATACCCTGACATCCAGCTCAGCTTCTTTTAGTGCCCAAGAACAAGAAAGCAACCACATGCACAGGAGAGCAGGCAGAGCAGTGCCAGAAGGTCACTAAACCCACATGCCCCACACTATGTGTATCTCCTAAGAGAACAAGGCTGGACAGAGGAAACCAGCCAGCCCTGGGCTCAGAGCAGCAATGCCTGGCTGGAGGCATGACAATGACACTCTTTGCCACATTTACAATGATCAGGCCTCCTTTCTTCTTTCTCTCTTGAAAGGTTTGTTTTGATACTACTTAATTCAACTGTATCTACAAAATGCAAGCCAGAGGGACAGCTGGGACAGATTTTTGATAAGCTGTTTGCAGACTACACTGTCTCTAGCTAATTCAGAAAGTTATCTGCACAATAGGTGGGAGTTCTAGAGTTAATGAATGAAGAATTTGAATTTTTGCCTGTCTCTTTCAAAAGACTTTTCAATAGCCAAGAATGTGTCTAGACTGTACCCATGCACCAGCTCTACCCATGCCTTGAATGTCCACTGAGGATTCAAAGCAGGGAGAGTAGAGGGACTGTATCTTTTGAATCCCTAACTAGGGCAGTGACAGATGAGAGTCAGGTGAGAGGTCCTGAAACGAGTTTGGACTTCAGAATCAGTCACTCCTGAGAGCAAATTCAATTCTGCCATTTCTAGTTCTGTGCCCTTGAGGCATTTAATCTCCCTAAGCCTCCTTTGCAAACTGTTTATTTCAAAAGGGTACTTTACAGTGTTATCATGTAACAGATGAAAATGCTCAGAGCACATAACTGGTGTTCAAGAAATGGTAGCAATTATTTATTATTTGAAGTCAGAACTAGACTCATACTTTCCCATCTCAACTAATTTTTAACTGGGAACTACAATAGCCACATAGCCAAGAAGAAACCTCGCCCTAGGAAATCTTTTCTAGGTGGGAGACAAGACATACAAATAGGAGATAACTCTAGAAAGCAGTAAGTGCCATATACTACAGAACAGAGCCTCTAAAATCTTAGCACACCTAAGAATGACCCAGAGAGCTTATTAAAAACACAAATTACTGGGCTGGGGTTGCAGCTCAGCAGTAGAGCACTCGCCTTGAAAGTGCGAGACCCTGGGTTCGATCCTCAGCACCACATAAAAATACATAAGTGAAATAAAGTGAAATAAAGGTATAAGTGAACTACAACTAAAAAATTTAAAAAATGCAGATTACTGATTCCAACACAAGAAACTGTGTTTCAGAAGATCTGGAGAGGTTTCCAAAACTAGGATTTTTAAATGTATTTTATTTTTAATATTGTCTATTTATTTTGCAAACTCTCTAGCTGATTATGGTGCAAGTGGTCTGAAGACAACATGTAGAAATGAACTATTGTAAAAGATATCACAGGATAATATTAGCAAGTGGAAAAAGGAAAGGCTACTGGATTCATAGCAAACTTTACAAGAAAATAAAGCCATTTTAATGATTAAGCTTCTAAGATTTCAGGATTTCAGAGATTTCAGGGATTGATTGTTACTGCAGCAGAAAACATCCTACTCTGACTTGTATAATATACTTTCCTGTAGGAAGAGCTATCCAATAGAAAAAAAAAAAAACATTTACTTTCAGGCCTATTTCCCTACAATGTATATCTATAACCATTTTGTTCTTTTTTCTGTGGCAACAATTAGGCCTTTAGGGAACTCCACCACTAGTCTGATCATAACTGATGAACTAGAGACAACCATTATTTAAATATATTTTGACTTATTTTTCTCTATAATAAATGTGATGCACTGCAGTTCAAAATGGAAACTGGCTGGCAGTTCCTGATCATGCTCCTTCATTTCTTGCTTGTCTGAGAAATAATAAGGGTAGAGAGAATTCTACAAAGGAAGTAGTGACCAGTGTCAAGCTTAACAGTATCAAATGCTGCAAGGAGATCAAGAAGAGAAGAAATGGGAAAAGATCATTGAATTTAATATGAAGAGAAGTCATTGTGCAGCCAGGTGTGGTGGTACAGGCATGTAATCCGAGCTACTCTGGAGGCTGAAGCAGGAGGACCACAAGTTCAAGTTTACTCTGAGAACCTGTCTCAAAATAAACTAAAAGCACTGGGGATGTAGCTTAGTTAAGGAGTGCTTACCTAGTAACATACATGAGGTGCTGGGTTCAATCCCCAGTACCAAAAAATAAAAATAAAAAAAAAGAAGTCATTATACAAATCACCTAAGTATCATATTAAAACAAATCAAGCCTGTAGCTCCAATAACCAGTGTATAGAAAAATACACAGAGACGCAGAAAATATTAAACAGTACTAAGGGGGAAATATTAATTAGTACTAAGGAAAATATTAAACAGTACTGTTTAATAAAATAATCAGCAAACTCCTAATTATGGACAAGTTTGTTTCTTCACCAAATAAACTGCACATAAAAAGTGGAAAAGAATCTATATATTAAAAGAGATTTTAAAGACATCCAACTAATTTCAATGTGTGGGCCTCATTTGAATCCTGATTCAAACAAATTAATTTTTTTAAATTATGAGATTTACGAGACAATTGGATATTTCCACACTGAATATTTGATGAAGTTAGGAAATGACTGTTCATTTCTTAAAGATATGATATCACGTTATGGTATTGTGGTTATATTAATAGAAACAATCTTTTTCTATATGATATATTTACAGATGAAATTATATTGTCTGTAATTTGCTTTAAAATAATCACTAAAGAGTAAAGCAAGTAGATTGGGGAGGGAAGAGGAGTGGGAAAAGGAAGGTACTAGAGAATGAGATTGATCAAATTATGTTATGTGCCTATACAAATATGTCATAATGAATTGCACTATTATGTATAATCATAATGTACCAATAAAAATTACACCTGTAAAAAATTAATTAAATAAAATAATCCCTAAGAGGAGGGTAAAGATGAAAAAATTAGCCTCGTATTGACAATAATTGACATTAAGGGGGTGAGGGCATCAGGTTTCAACATGATATTTCTCTACTTTAGCATATTTGAATATTTATAGAATATTTTTTTCTTTTTAATAAATGTGAAATTGGCATTACCTCTGGAGTGGGAGAGAGATGTGCAATATTCTAGAAGAGGCATATCAGAGGCTTCAAATATAAAAACAATATTCTATTTCTTTAATGGTGTGGGAAGTACAGGTATTAAGGATATGCACATATCCAAGCATATCCAAGGATAGTGCCCACTTTGGAGGTAGTTGGGAAGTGATGTGTTAGGGTTAAGATTTGGATTATATTGATAATCCCATTTCCTTTTTGATATATACATGCATAACAGGAGTTGAGCAGGGTTCCAGGCTCCTCCACAACTCCTATATCTGTGACCACTCTTCTAGCTCATCTAGTATGGATTTTCATGTGTTCTCTGACCAAATAAATAAAAGCCTTGATTTCCAAAACTATTTGTCTCTGCTATGAGCTTTAAAATCTATTTTAAATTTCAAAAATGAAAACTTTTGACTTCTTTCTGTTTGTACTCCTGCTACAATAAACTTATTCATCCCCCAAACTTTGGCTGCCTCCTCCTACGCAGGTATTTCTATAAAAAGAGAGGCCACAAGTGGCCCATTGGTCCTTTGCAAACTCTTAGGGCCTTTCAGTAAGTCCATTAAGAGTATGGGGGGGGCTGGGGTTGTGGCTTAGCGGTAGAGCACTCACCTAGCACATGAGAGGCCCTGGGTTCGATCCTCAGCACCACATAAAAATAAATAAATAAAATAAATATTCTGTGCCCAACTACAACTAAAAAATATTTTTTTAAAAAAAGAGTAAGCCGGAACCCGGCACAGTGGCACATGCCTGTAAACCCAGTGGCTTGGGAGGCTGAGGCAGAAAGATCCTGATTTCAGCAAAAGCGAGGCACTAAGTAACTCAGTGAGACCCTGTCTCTAAATAAAATACAAAATAGGGCCATGGCTGTCGCTTAGTGGCCAAGTGCTCCTGAGTTCAATTCCTAGTTCCTCCCCCCAAAAAACCAAAGAGTAAGGCAGGGACAGAGAACTCACCAAATTACAAGCCAAGGAGATTGTGTGTGGGGTGTGTGTGTGTGTGTGTGTGTGTGTACGCGTGCATAACTTTTTTCATATTAATTTATTTTAATTAAATAGTTACAAGACTACAACATGTACTTCAGGCTAAGGTTTATGGGATATTTTCCTTGTGGAAAACATAAAACATTTTGAACGCATGTGACAGGCAGCATCTAATGGAATCGGACTTCAATGAGGTTTCTATTAATAACTATCTGAGAGAACTTATCTGATGACTTAAATGTCACATTAGCATTTTATGAAATTCAGAGCAAAACAAAAATGTGGATCAGCATATGTCATGAGTTCATTGCCAAAACATGTCACCTGCCAACTGTCCTCTCTGTTTTTCTACCTTCCTGTGTACTAGGGTGACATAGTGACCCTGCAGGGCTGCCCCAGCCTGCCAAAGGCAGGCCTGCAAAACCATGAGCCAAGAGCTTTCTCAGGCATTGCAGAGTCAAGGTCCAGGAGGAAAACATTACCATATTTCTTTCTCCCGAGGCACTGATCCACCATCCTCTCTGACACAGACCTCTTATTGCGAAGGAAGACCCCATTGAAGAAGCACTGCTTTCCAACATGGTAGGTGTGGATATTGCTGCTAAACCTCGGGTAAAAGGTCCACTCAGGACGCTGCCCATCTTCTGCAAGATATCAGAAATCCTTCCATTAACACTGCTCCCAGCCTCGGAATGCAACTAGATGACAAAAAGTGGTGACAACTCCCTGGACACTTTCCAGCTGTACAACCTTGACCAGTATGTATAATTCCTTGTTCCCCATCAGGGACAGTGTCAACTTTTTGTGGGATGAGGCACAAAAGGGAGAGAAAGCTACCTAAAAGGCCTAATAATTATTTCCTTTTTGACCTCTCCTTCAAAAATAAAGCCAAATTTATGCAGGGAAATCATGTATGGGTTCGAAAGTTAAGAGGCAGTTTTAAACCTTTACTCTGATAACTGTGTAGAATAAAACCAGAAAGCCCATTGACCAGGAAAAGACTAGGCCAACCATGGCATGGCATGCTAGCTGGGTGGAACTTGATATTGACAGCAACAATGGCCAATGAAGTCACCACAGTGACTCCCCTAATGTCTGCATGTGGAAGCATCAAATACAAAAGCTGCTGTAAGACCTCAGGCTAGTACTTCATCTCTCAGTGCCTAATTTGGCACTTTCCTTGTAACATTGCAAACAGTTATTTTAAACAATAAAAGATTCCCGAGAAGCTCTAGGGTTGCTTGAAAACCCTTAGGCTCTGGGATGATCATGAAAGGGCACAGGCCAAGTTTGGGTTCTAATCCCATTGCTCTACTTCCTGACTATGTGTACTTATATGGGTGATCAAATCTCCCCATGCTACAATTCCCTTCTCTGTAAAATGAGTAGGCCTATAATAGCCACAAAGATCTAAATGTACCAGCACAAAAGACATGCATGATTTATTCACTATAGAGTGAAAATAGTCTGTATACTGCAACTCATTTATTTTATATGTGTGCATGCATGCATCACTTATGATTTGAGAAACGTGTCATTAGATGTGTCATTAAATGTTTCATTGTAAGCCAGGTGCGGTTGTAATCCCACTGGCTCAGAAAGCTAAGGCAGGAGGATTGAGAGTTCAAAGCCAGCATCAGTGAAAGCAAGTTGCTAAGCAACTCAGTGAGACCCTGTCTCTAAATAAAATACAAAAAAAAAAAAAAATAGAGCTGGGGATGTGGCTCAGTGGCAGAGTGTCCTGAGTTCAACCCCTGATTCCAAAAAAAAAAAAAAAGTGTAATTGTAGAACACCATAGCATATGCTTACACAAAACTGGATGGTACAGGTCACTGGCTCAATGAGGGCTCTTGATGCATTCAAAAGACATGGTAGAGGGGGAGGGAAGAATAGAAGTTCATTGGATTAGACAAAGGGGAAAGAAGGGACGGGAGGGTGATGGGAATGGAAGGACAGTAGAATGAATCTGACATATGTTCGTGTATGAATACCTGACCAGTGAAACTCCATATCATGTACAAGGATCCCACAAGAATGGGATCCTAATTAGAACAAGTTATACTCCATGTATGTATAATATGTTAAAATACATGCTACTGTCATGTATACCTAAAAAGAACAAATAATAAAATTTAACAATGAATGAGAAAAAAAAGAGACATGGTAAATATGAGATATACTAGGCTTTTTTAGCAGTAGAATGAGCACATTCTAACATAATGGTAAAACTATAGTGTGGTATACATACTAAATATATGCAGTGCATGACTGTTTATGTATATGTGTACTAAATACTATGTATACTAAATACATAGACATACATATGCATTACAAAATTCTAGAAAAACATGTATAGATCTTCAGAGCTATGGGGAAGAATTGGGATATTGTTGGAGAATATTGGGGAAGGGTTCTTTTTTACATGCTATATACTTTTATATTATTTTAATATTTTGCAGCAGTCCTTTATGATTTTTACATAAAGGCATTTCAGTTTTGAAAAACATATGACCATAGCTCCCCAGCAGAGCTGTTGTGAGAATTAGAAAGTGGGCCCTCTGTGCCTGTGGCCAACAGTATGGCAGACTCCTGAATAACCATGGGCACAGAGGCACGTGGAGGAAGGTCTAGGATCTACTCACTTGTCTGTAACTTAAGCAGGCTGAATTCCTCGGGGTGTTTATTCTTTTGGACTTCAGGCAATGATTTTTCAGAGGACTGATCCAAATATGAGGAGGAAGATTTTTGACCCAAATCTGTAGCAATGCTGGAAAGAAATCGAGGAATCAGAGTACTCTGTGTGCTTAAACTGGTAGTCAGAATCTGATCTCACAAGTCTCACACTAGAATGACACTAGTTCTCACTTGTAGAATTGGGCCCACTCATCTATAAAAGTCCCTGAGTATATTATTGATTTATTCACAATTCAAAGGAGCTGAAACATATTCAAAAGATGGCTGCTTTAAAACAATTTCATGGTTTCTCAAAAAGTTAAACAGAATCACTATGTTACCCAGCAATTCCACTCCTAGGTATACATCCAAAAGAACTGAAAACAGAAACTCAGATATTTATATATGCATGTCCATTACAGAATTATTCATAGTATCCCCAAATTGAAAACAACCCAAAAGTCCATCCATAGATGAATGGATAAATAAAAGTTGGTATGTATATACATATACATATGCATACGTAATATATATACATATACATATGTAATATATATACACATATACATATGTAGTATATATATATGTTATTGGACCATAAAAGAGAATGAAGTTCTGTTAAATGCTACAATATGGAAACATTGAAAACATTATATTAAGTAAAATATTGTGTGATTCTACTTGTATGAAGACAGAAAGTAGATTAGAGATTGCCAGGGAGACTGGAGAGAGGGGAGAATGGTAAGTTATTGCTTAATGGGTACCAAGTTTCTGTTTGGGATGATGAAAATGTTTGAAAATCAACAGTTGTGATGGTTATACAACATTACAAGTGTAGGGCTGGAGTTGTAGCTCAGTGGTAGAGCACTTGCCTATCACGTGTGAGGCACTGGGTTTGATCCTCAGCACCACATAAAAATAAATAAATAAAATAAAGGTATTATGTCCATCTACAACTAAAAAAAATTTTTAATTAAAAAATTAAAAGTATAATTAATGCTACCTACTGTACACTTAAAACTGGATAAAGCAGTATTTGCTATATTTATTTTACCAATTAAAAAAATATACGTTACAACATAGATGAAACTTGAAGGCATTAGGTTAAGTGAAAGAAGACAGACCGACACCAAAGACCATATGTCAACTATTTCATTTATGTGAGATGTACAGAATAAAAAAATCTACAAAGACAAAAATGTAGATTAGTGATTGTCTAGGGCTGGGGTGATAAAAGAGTTAGTTGGGTAGTTATCACTAACAGGTACAACCTTCCTTTGGGGATAATAAAAATGTCCTAAAATCAATTGTAGTGATTATTGTGCAACTCAGCAAATATATCAAAACCTTGGGGTTGTATACTTCAAATGAGTGAATTGTATGGTGTGATGGTTAATTTTAGATGTCAATTTGACTAACTTAAAGAACATCTAGAGAACTGTTAATGAGGATGTTTCCAGAGAAAATTGGCAGTAAGTCAGTGGAATGAAAGGGGAGAATCCACCCTCAATATGAGTGGGCATCATCCAGTCTGCTGAGGTCCTTACAGAACAAAAATAAAAGGGCACAGGAGAGAGGATTCCCTCTTTCTCTTTCCTGGAACTAGGGTGCTCTTCTCCTGACCCTTGATATTGGAACTTCAGGCTCAGGTTGGGGATGTAGCTCATTGGTAGAAAGTTTGCCAAGCATTCACAAAGCCTTGGGCTCAATCCCTAATACCATTCACACACACACACACACACACACCTCTAAAAATATAAATCCAGGCTGGTTGGCCTTTGGGGACTCCAAGACAAGTGTCCACCCCTTCCCCCACCTCCTCAGGTTCTCAGGTCCTCAGCCTCAGGCTGATGGTCTTCAGCCTCAGTTCCCTGATTCTGAAGGCTTCAGACTTGAACTGAGCTATGCTACTGTCATCCAAGGGTCTCTAGCTTGCAGATCGCCTATCAGAAGACTTAGTAGCCTCCATAATTATGTGAGCCAACTTCTCTAATGTATATGAAGGAATGTATATGTATATGAAAGAACACACATCATACGCACGCATGTGCGCTTGCACACAAACACACACACAGTCTATTGGTTCCATCCTTTTGGAGAAACCTAATTGATAGTATATACATTTTATTTCAGTAAGTCTACTACCCCCCAGAAAAAGTTTGTACAATAAAACCATTAAATGTAAGCAAAAAAAATCAATAAGTATATAGAGAAGAGGAAGAAATAATCAAAATACATCTAGGCTGAAATGGTTATAGTAATAGCAATATGTTTAGCACTAAACCTTCTAGCAGTTAAAAATACCACAACAAACTATCATGAGTGTCAGCAGAAAAGGCCACTATTTCTGGATTAAGTGGTTTAGCATTTGGTAGATGATCTTAGACAATGTTTTCAGATATATTATCAGTTATCAATTCATAGGATTTTTTTTCATAAAATTGCATCACTCACATTTGAATAGTTTCAAAGAAACTTCATATGGTTTGTCTCATTTGCTCCCTCCTAATAATCCTGTGGTCTGAGAAGGATCAATATAATCTTTTCTATTTACAAAGGAAATGGACTATCAGTTGACTTTCTATGATAAACACCCCTAGATTGGGTCAGAGCTAGATCTTGCCGCAGTCTGGCTGGGCAAAATAACCTGGGGGCGAGTGACAAGGAACTTGTGAAGGTTGATACAGCGGGAGCCGCTTTATTGCAGGAGCCGCTTTATTGCAGGACAGCAGAGGTATATATACTTAACTAATTACACACAGCTTATCTTAATTAAAATAAACTAGATATAGCAGTCAACCAATAAGGAATCATCATCTTAATGATTACACACAGCTTAACTTAATTGGCATAATCTAGACACAGCAGTCATTAAGGAATCTCTATCATCTTAACGGCTGGATGGCGTTACTTCTCAAACCACTCCTCTTGGCAAAGTGCCAGGCGCCATCTTGACTTGTCTGTGGCTCTCAACAAGATCTGCAGCCCAGATCTCCTGATTCCAGACTATGCTGCCTAAATATACTAAATAACCCTAGTTCAATAACTCAGCGTACTCCCCAATCCCAAATATATGACAATTTTTACCTTGCTGTAAAATACCTGAATATAAGGGTGGAAAGAAAAAGTTTTGTGAATGAACTACATAGAAAATGTTGCAAGAATAAAGGAAACTTTCCCAAAGAACTTTGGAAGTATGTATCTATTTATCCAACAAACATTTACCTGAGTCAATTCTATGGCAGGTGCTATTCTAGACATTGGAGATCAAAGATGATTCAACACAGGTCCTGCATGTAAGGAGCTTAGGGCTGGGGAGAAGAGATGGACACAAAACACAGGTGACCATGGAAGAGTGGGCAAATGAAGTGGTAGAGACTCTCCAGGAAATTAAGGGAGCCCTCAGAAAGGACACCTAATCCAGTTAGATTTGAGGGGTCAGAGCAGACATCTGGAAAGGGATGAGCTGAGACTCAAAAGATGGGTATAAGTTTGCCACATATATCAGTCAAGACTCATAGCTGGGACCGATTGAAATCCAACTCAAACCATGGTAATTTAAGCAATTCTGGGGGTGTACAGGTTTCCCTGAAAAGGATAGAGCTGGAATCAGGGATCAATATCTCCTGAACTCCTGATTATTGTGACATTTTGGCTTCATTCTCACCAACTTCAGATAAACTTTTTCACAAGGACAAAAAAGCAGTCAACACTCTCCAATTCAAATTCTCAGTCTTCCAACCAACTTTTATCCCCATGTCCAGTGTGAAAAAAATAAAAAAAACTCAGGGAAGGACTCTGATTGGTCCCGCATGAGTCATGTGCCCTCCCTTAGTTCAATCACAACCAATGAGTTAAGTCTCACAAGATGGCAGGTTCTATCTAGAATACTCATTAAAACTAGGGAGGGAGGGAGGGGAAACAGCACAGAGGAGGCCATAGGGAAGGAAGTAGTGGAAACTAAGCAGCACCTACAATATGTGAACACAAGCAAAGCGTATTGGGAGAAACCACTGCAGGCAAAGGACACAATATTAGCAAAGGGAAGGAACAGCAGGGAAATGAAGAAGTTTGAAGTGGATTTATCAGGACTGTTGGAGATAAGCCTGGATAAGAGAAGGAAGGTAAATCTGGAGAATCTGCGTTCTATGTGAGGGAATTTAGATATTTCTTTATGGCTCCATCTTTTTTTCTTTCTTTCTTTTTTGGAACTGGTGATTGAACCTTGAACTCAATGGTGCTCTACCACTGAGCTATACCCCCACCTTTTTTTCAGTTTTTATTTTGAGACAGGCTCTCACTAAGTTGCCCAGGCTGGCCTCAAACTTGCAATCCTCCTGCCTCAGCCTCCAGAGAAGCTGAGATTATAAGCATGTGTCATCATGTCTAGATCTTTTTGAATTAAAAAAAAAAAACAGAGATTTCTTGTCTCATAGTCCTGGAGTCCAGAGGTCTAAAATCAAGATATTAACAGGGAAGCTTCGGAAGACTTCAAGGGAGAATCTATTCCATGCTTCTCTCTCTCCTAGCTTCTGGTGGCTACAAGCAATCCTTAGTGTTCCTTGGCTCCAATCTTTGTTTCTGTCTTCAAGTCTTCTTCATCCTTGTAACTCGCAACTAACAAAAGGGATAAGATGTCACTTTTAGGTTACAAAAGACTAGCCTTGTTTGTGTTTAGTTTGCTGGCTGAAGAGAGACAGCTTCCATGTTGTGAGATGCCCTAGGGAGAAGCAAGTAGAAGCAAGCAACTAAGGGAAGTCTCTGCAAAAGCTCCAGTGAGGAACCAAAGCTCTCAGACCCAAAGGCCTGCCAGGAACTGAACACTGCCACCAACCATGTGAGTTAACTTGTAGTGGGTCCTGCCCACGTCAAGCCTTCGGATGAGCTCACAGCCCCAGTCAGCACCCCAGATTGACTGCAAATCTCATGCAAGAGACCTTGAGCTCAGAGTCTCTTGAGCAAGAGACTCCATCCAAATCCCACTCTGATTCCTGACCCACAGGAGATGTGAGGTTACAAATGGTTGTTTTATGGCACTAAGTTTTGGGAGATTCATTGTGCAGCAATAGATAACTAGTATGGAGGGTATCACCATGGTCCAGACAAGAGATGATCAGAGGCTGGGTAATACAGATGGAGCAAAAGAGATGGATTCCAAGATAGTTCAAGGCTATATCCAACTTGTATGAATGGCAGGAGACCACTGTGACCCTTGGGTCTAACTATACCTTTGGGACTAGAGCAACACTGAGACAGCCATCTGAGGGTACACAGGAGAGGACCTGGTTTAGGGAAGGTGATGTCAAGGTACAAAGAGTTTAAGAAGTCTGTGGAACAGCTATGTGGACATATCTAACAAGTAGTTGAATGTATCAATCTGAAGCTGGGGGCTAGATCTAGGCTGGAGTTGTAGAGCCAAGCATACATACTTTGACTGAATTAGATTCTGTTTAACCCAGGCATCATGAGAGAAGCAGCACCAATCACCCAGTTCCACTCTGTGGGATTTAAACCTGACAATCTAAGGTTTCTTTCCTTCCAAATAGATGGACTCGCTGCTGCTGGTAGTGACGCTCGCCTATTACGAGAACCTAAAGAGGGAAAGCTCAAGAATCATGCAAGTCTCTCCCATGTCTGTGATGGGGGAAGCAAGGCCCTTTGAGCAGATTTTATTATGGAAAGAATCACTGAGTGACTTTATTGCACTTCTAGGAGTTTACCTTTAAAACATAACCAGAGAGGGGCAAAAGGACATACAGGGATACATACACATGACAGCTTTATTCACAATAAACAACCCCTTTTAAACTGCAGGGCAAGGCTGGGGATGTAGTTTAGGGGTATAGCACCTGTCTAGCATGTGCAAGGCCCTAGGTTCAATCCCCAGCTCTGCAAAAACAAAACAAAACAAAAACTACAAGGCACTGATTGAACTGTGGTCTATCCATCTGACAATTCAGCATGTGTCACTGAAAACCATGTTTTTGAAAAACACTCAAAGATGTAAGATATTTTTCTCCATATATTGTTCAATTAAGAAGCAGGTTCCACAAGATGTCCTTCAGTGGGAGAATTGACACACAAGCCATGGTACATTCAAACAATGGAATATCACTCAGCACAAAAAAGAAATGAACCATCAAGAAAAGACATGGAGAAACTTTAAATGCAGATCACTGAGCAAACGAAGTCACTCTGAAAAGACCATGTGATTCCAATGATATGATATTCTGGAAAAGGAAAAATCATGGAGACAAGAATTAGGGGAGTGAAGAGGGATGAATACACAGAGGCCATAGGATTTTTAGGAAAGTGAGAAACACTCTGAACAAATCCCATCAATATGTACAACTATAATGCACCAATAAAAAAATTGTGGGAAAAGGACTGGGGTTGTGGCTCAGCAGTAGAGCACTCCCCTAGTGGGTGGGAGGCGCTGGGTTTGATCCTCAGCACCACATAAAAATAAATAAACAAAATAAAGGTATTGTGTCTATCTACAACTAAAGAATATTTTTAATTGTGGGGCAAAAAAAGAAAAGAAAAAACACTCTGTATGGAATTACAAAGGTGGATACAAGTCACTGCATATTTGTCCAGCTCCACAGGATTCACAACATCAAGAGTGAGCTTAATATAAACCACGGACTTGGGGTGCTTCTGATGTGTCCATGGAGGTTCATCACTAGTAACATTTGTACTCCTGGAGCAGGATGCTGATCATGGGGGCAGGGGGTGAAGCAAGGGGTGAGGGAGCAAGGGTACGTGGGAACTCTCTCTACCTTCTCCCTTCAATTTCCCTGTGAACTTAAAAGTCCTCCAATTGGAGTAAAATTTTAAATGGATTTTTTTTCTTTAGTTGTAGTTGGACACAATACCTTTATTTTATTTATTTATTTTTATGTGGTGCTGAGGATCAAACCTGGGCCTTGCATATGCTAGGTGAGCGCTCTACCATTGAGCCACAACCCCAGCCCAAATGAATCTTTTTTAAAAGCAGGTTTTACAAAAGGGTAGTATATGCTCTTAATTGTATAAAATAAATACATATTTGCATGCATAAGAAAAAAATTCTCTTACACATATAAAAAACTAATATCAGGAGAGGGGGTGTAGCTCAGTAGTAGAGAACTTAGCTAGCATATTTAAGGTTCAATCCTACACACACACATACAAAAAAAAAACTAGTATCGAAATGTTCAAATTTATTCTCTCAGGTGTGTAATTATTGTGATGTCCATTTTTAATAGTGTTTTATACTTTTAAAATTTCTATAATAAACTTTCATTATAACAAACATCTTAGAAAAGAGTTTTCAAAATGTATTACTGTAAAAAAAAAAAAATACAGAGAAGAGCATCTAAAGCTGGGCACAGTGACAAATGCTTGTAATTCCAACTGCTCCACAGGCGGAGGCAGGAAAATCATGAGTTCAAAGCCAACCTCAGCAAAAGAAAGACTCTAAGCAACTCACTGAGACCCTGTCTCTAAATGAAACACAAAATAGGGCTGGGGATGTGCTCAGTGGTCGAGTGTCCCTGAGTTTAATCCCCACTAACCCCCCTCAAAAAAGTATCTAAAACATAAATACAGTCTTACATTTATAAAACCAACATCTCAAAGAACAGATGGAACACTGCCAGCTCCCTCCCCCCAACCACATTCCTTCCCAGGAGAGGTGACTACACCCTGACTGTCACTCTTAGGATAGTAATTTCTTTCCTTTTTTTTTTTTTTCTTTTTTCTTTTTTTCAGGTTTTACCACCTATGTATTCTCCAAAAAATACACTTTAGGGGCTGGAGTAGTAGCTCAGAGGTAGAGCATTTGCATCGTACATGTGAGGCACTGGGTTCGATTCCCAGCACCACATATAAATAAGCAAATAAATAAAGGCCTACCAACAACTAAAAAAATATTTTTAAAAATACACTTTAATTTCACCTACTTTTTGAATTTTATAATAACAAGCACTTACACAGCACTTACTGTGTGCCAGGGAGTCTCCCAATCACTTTTCATGTATAATCTCATTTAATCCTCAAAACAATCCTAGGAAGTATTATCCCCATTTACAAATGAAGCTTAGAGAGGTAAAGTATTTTACTCAAGTTCACTTAGATACTAAGTTGCAGAGCTGGGACTTGAACCCAGACCATTTAGCTCCAGAATCCACACCTGTGCCAAGCACTACCTGTCAGATCATCAGCTTCTTGATCAGAGTTTAATCCCAACAGTGGCATCTCTCCATGAGGCCCTTACTTACTCCAGGTGAGCACTCACTCTGGCGAGGCGCGGAGGCTCACTGACACACAGTCCTGTTTCAACAGTGGATGAGGGGGTGACCCTTCTGCCAGAAGATGTGGTGTTAGGTTCTAAGAAATTATTGCATTTAGTACCTGCAAAAGAGATATTGCCATTTAATCACTTACTGCCATTCATCTATTTCATTGAAATGCCTGCCACTCTATCTGATTCCCTAGATTATAGTTTTCTTTTTAAACAGCTAACATTATTGAGCATTTACTACGTGTAGGGAATTATGTTAACACCTAACACACTTTTTCCCATTTATCTCCCACAACAGTTCATAGGCTGGGATTGTAGCTAGTGATAGAATGCTTGCCTAGCATGTGTGAGGCACTGGGTTCAATCCTCAGCATGACATAAAAATAAATAAAATAAAGGTATTATGTCCATCTACAACTGAAAATGTTAAAAAAAAAAAAAAAGCTCATAGATGTAGGTGTTACTGATCTCCCTCCCCTCCACGTTTTACAATGATAAAATAGGCTCAGAAAGTTAACAACTTGTCTATGATCACATAGAATACAAACATCTAGGCACAGATTTGATCAAAGTATTTGTGATACCATAGTCAAAGCTAGACCACTTGCCTCTACAAACAGTTAGGTACTCTGAACTAAGTGCAGGTGAGATCAGAGTCCAGCTGCCCATCACGGTACATTGTATTGAACATCTCATTTGAACATTTCCAAAGGGTTTGTTCATAGCATAGTGAATACAGATGGTAATCATGACCGAAAGAACTGCCTTCAAAAACATCTAGGGATGGCCCTCCCACTGTGGAGTCATTCATTAATCTGCACCCCTTCCCCTAAGACTGACTTTTTCATTTTAGTAGCAACCAGAACATGGCTGGCACAAAGTAGATCTCAGAGTTTCCGAGAATAAATTAAAAAAGAATTATAACTCCCTAACCACACACAATCACAAGTAAGGGAGTCCTGAAAACTAGTAATTGTCAGACAGAGACAATGCATACAATGTACAGATAGTAAAAGTCAATCTGTTTCTTATCACTTTATATGGATACATGGCTGTCTTGTCCAATCATGAAAAAGATATTGCATTTCTTTGTGCATAACTTCATAGAGCACAGAAGGTCTATAGACACACTATAACCTCTGGTTAAAAGAAATACGAGACTTCTCAGAGAAGTACATTTTTAAATTAACTGCTATTTTGCCTACATGGGATCATGCTTCACATGCATACGGGCTGGGGATGTGGTTCAGTGGTTAAGCACCCCTGGGTCCAACCCCTGGTACCCCCAAAAAAGAAAAAAAAACAGATTCCCAAATCCTATTAAGTTAGAATCTTAGAACTATAAAATTAGAATCTTTCTAAGCAAATCTGTATTTGGGACAAGTTCCCCTCCCACAAGAGCTCTTTGGCAATGATCTTCCTCTTCTCAAGTTTGACTCCATTACTACACTATACTCCATCCAGCCCCCTTTCCCAATTCCCAAACACACAGAATTTCCCAAATTTGCTGGTTCATAAGAATCAACGCAGGGGCTGGGGATGTGGCTCAAGCGGTAGCACGCTCGCCTGGCATGCGTGCGGCCCGAGTTCGATCCTCAGCACCACATACAAACAAAGATGTTGTGTCCGCCGAAAACTAAAATAAATAAATAAATATTTTTTAAAAAAAAGAATCAACGCAGGACACTCGTTCAACATGCAGATTCCAGACCTACAAGAGACCACCTGGGAATGAGTGTTTTTAAGAACCACCTCAGACGATTTGTAGGACCAGCCGACTGAGGGAAATGCTGTTCTGGAATGTGCCCCAGAGCCTAGAGCAGCCCCAGGTACACTGAAGTCAAGCCGTGTGAATTGCTGGGATAAAATCAAGCCCAGTGGAGGGGGCAGGAAAAGAGCAGCACTGTAAGGAGGAAGGGACGGTCCCCAGCTGTGAAAGGAGGAACTACCCAGACAATAAAAAGCCACAAAAAAAGTGTCAACAAATACAATCTAGACCATGCTCTGACCACAATGCAATGCAACTGGAAATCAATAATAAAAAGACAGCCAAAAACCATCCATAAGTCTGGAAACTCAAACCGCAACTCTAAATAATTCATACAAAAGAACAAATCATAATGGAAATCATGGGATGCTTAATCATCAATGGACATAAATACTATCTATCAAAACTTGTGGAATTCAACAAAAACAGTAATTACAAATTGGAGCCTTAAGTGCATATACTACATTTCACTGGATCTAAGATACCATCAGTTTGAACAACATTTTTATTTTATGAACCACAAGGAATAAAAGCTGTCAATTAAAAACACAGTACTTTTATCACTTTGAAGTTTTATTTTACCCTTATTAAAGCATTCCTTTAAACTTAGATACAAATTTAAATCTTATGATTCATATGTATAAGAGAGAAAATAAAAGAAAATAAATTGGCAAAGGCATTCTTATCCCTCATTCACATCAAAAGTCTGACTCCTACATCAACTCAATTCACATTTCCCACCTAATTTTGACCTCAGCACAACCCTTCTTAAATGAGAGCTGGGATTTTCTCCCAGCTATGGACAAGCCTTCTTCATGCTTCAGTGCTCATATAGCAAAGACTACACAACTGCTCTGCACCTGCTGCTAGGCCCGCGGTGCTGGTAAGATCAGTCCCAACTTCGGAGATGCAAACTGTGAAAAATGTCTGTCTTTAGACAGTACAGGGAGATTATAATGTTCAAAAACAAAGTTTCCAAAACTAATGAGATAAACTTTCAACTTAAGAAATAAGGAAGCTGGGCACGGTGGCAGCTGATCCCAGCAACTCAGAAGGTTGAGGCAGGAGGATCGCAAGTTCAAAGCCAGCCTCAGAAACTTAGCAAGACCATGTTTCTAAATTTAAAAAGGGGCTGGGGATGTGGCTCAATGGTTAAGCACCCCTGGCTTCAATCCCTAGTATAAAAAAAGAAAGAAAGAAAGAGTAACCCCTACAAGTGATAAGGAAGGAAATCATAAAATAAGAACAGAAATTAATAAAATTAGTAAGATTATCAGAACTAGAACATGAAAAAATGAATGAGGTGGACAAACAGAGTTCAAGGACAAAATTTAAAACACAAGTAAACAGTATCAGAAATGAAAAGGAGCCCATAATTACAAATAAAATGAACAGATAAAAAAATTTGAGTCCCATAAGCATCAAATAACTCTTTCAAAGTTTCAATAATAAGGAGCACAATTTATAAAATGTAGTTTAGTGTTATATCCATCACCTTCCATAACCAGAGCACTTTCACACACTTGTCAGCTCAGACAACTTTCACAATACCTCTGTCAGACCGGGAAACAAATAATACATCAAACCCTGTTAGCTTAACATGGACACCCTTTTAAGCAAACACTCAGCTTCCCACTCCTGCTTCTCTGCTCAACAAGCAAGCTAAGGGTCTGGGGCAGTGGCTTGTAACCCTTTTATGATGCCAGGACACCCTCCCACGCACTCTCTGCTGGAAAGATGCACATAGCTCAGTGTATCTGTGACTGATTTGTGGGTCTCCTCCTTTCCTCCAACCCATGAACTGTTAAGCTGAGGTCCAATGTGGTCTCCTAAGCAAGGGAAAAAGAAACTATGGTTCTTTGGATAATGTGGTCTGCTGATACTTGGGCTTAGTGTCCTTCTGGTACCCCTAACTCCGAAGCATGGTGCCTCCCTCGCTCCACCCTTTATAAACAGCACCTTCTTCCTTTACCCCAAACTAAATTTGGAAACTGAGGAAGCTCTGGAGCTTGAAGTTCAAATCCCAGAACCCTTTTCTCCTTGCTGTCCCTGCCACCAGGCTCAGTTTACAGCTGGGGATGGGTCACCATACCTCCCTCCTCTCTCCTTACTACAAAGGAGAATCCAAAGATCACACCTGGGATCCAGGAGAACAAAGACCAATCTAAAATCTGATGGGGCAAAGGTGGTCCATTCTCTAGCCCCTTTTGGCAACACACAGGGCACTCACTCTGTCAGGTGAATGACAACCTGAGCAAGGGCTCACCCTGAGTTTTCTGAGGGACTGTCGCTTCTCTGCTCCATGACGCTGTACTGTACAAGCAAATGTGCCTCCACGCATGCTCCTCAGCCTGAAGAACCTATTATGGAGGGACCAGCCATTATTTAATTTAAACCCCTCCTTAGAGTGTTCATAATTTCTATCTGATCTGTCTAAACCAATAAACAGTTCCACAAATCTTCTAATATCCAGCAAAGGAAAAAAAAATGGAAGGGCACAGACTCTGGAGACTGGCAGACTCGGGTCAAATCCCAAATCCCATTTATCAACCAAAGCACTTCCTCTGCTCATTTGTGATCTACTTCCTGAGCTGTAATAAGATCCAACAAGGTAATTTAGGAGAATGGTGCACTCTGCCTAATCAGATCTTGGATTAACACAGACTTAAACTACTAGTCGAGCAACTCCTTTTAAATGCCTCCAAGCTAGATGTTATAGTTTGGATCTTGAATGTACCCCAAAGGCCCATGTTCTAAAGGCCTGGTCCCCAGAACATGGCACTATTGGAAAGTGGTGGACCTTTAAACAGATGGTGCCCTGTGGGAGGTCTTAGGTCATTAGGGCATATCCTTGAAGAAGACAATGGTACTCCAGCCCCCTTTCTCTCTTTTTTTTCACATCCTGGAGAGGTGGTGAGTAGTTTTTCTCTACCATATGCTCCCATTATGATGTGTCACCACAGGTCCAAAGAAACATGGACTAAAACCTGCAAATCTGTAGGCCAAAATAAACCTTTTCTCTTCATAATTTGATCATCTCAGGTATTTGTTACAGTAACAGAAAGCTGACTAACACACTAGCCTTCTAATAGTGCCTGCTGGATATGGCAACAAATCCACACCCAGCCCTCCTGATTTCTTAGAACTCAACTGTATTTCCTCTCCACCTTGGTCAAGCAGGAGTCAGCTTTCTCTGGAACCTTCTCTAGCTCTCTGCTGTAGGTCGATCTTGAGATGGAGGGAAGATGGCAGCTCTGCAGACCATTTCCAGTGTGCATGGGCTCATCTATACACGTGGTTATTTTAAATATTAACAGTGACCCAGAGACAAAGACAAGACTTTCATATGAAAGGTTATCAGCCAAAACAAACGTACTCCACAAGCCACTGAAATTCAAGAGCACAGGGTTGGGCTCTAAATCAGAACCTCCCTCCTTGCAGCCCAGGGGCGTTTCTGGGTTCGGACGCCCCAGGGCTCCAGAAAGATCTCGCCCCCCAGCCCCGCAGGGATCGCTGTCCCGCCCACCGAGGGGCTCCCTCTGCACCTGTGGGTCTTGGTACTCCATTTTCTAGGAGAGCCCCAGGTCTACCCTCGGAGGCCTCCATGGAGAATGCGGCCGAGATCAACGCACCAACTGGCGGCCGAACTGCCGAATGCCGGGACTAGAGGCGAGGGCAAGAGGGACGCCGCCGCCGCCGCCGCCTGCACCTGCCGCCGGCCCAGGCGCGTTCCCTGGGTTGCCCCGACACCGCGCTGCTTCCTGCAGACCGGCTGCCGGGGCTCCTCTCCCGCTTGCATTCTGGCTTTCTGGCCTCGGCCCCGGATGGGGTCTTCTGAGAGGTGCAGCACGAGGTCCCACGCATGGTGGGGCGACCGAGTCAAAGAACCCCAAAAAGCTGCTTAGTTGTTTTTAATATTTTTTTTAAGGGTCGTGGTTCTTTTCCAGGCAATTTTCATAATTAGAACTGTAGCCTCTGGTGGCAGTGAAGGATGGCCCTCCACAAGGCTTGCAGATGCCCCCTGATAATTGGCATTGATTTAACAGGATTCACCGACCACTTAGAGCGCCTTTTCTGGGCCAGGCGCCCTGGTGGATGTTATCTTCCTTAGGCAGCCAGCTGCATTTTTCAAAATAGAAAACTGACTTTGAGCAAAGGCTTGCTCAAGGTCACTCAGAAAACTGAGATTCATTTCCAAGTTTCTTCATCCCAGATCTACTCCCCTCTTTCTCTCCTGTCAGCTGAAATTTATCTTCCAAATCCTTCCTTTCCAGTATCTAATAAATCTTGCATAGAAAGCTCTTTTCAAATTGAGTTTAGTCCCTAAATTTATATTTAGAACTAGTTTCTCCCTTGGTGAAGTGGGGGGAAATTTCAGACTGTGTTTTATTTTTCATGATTTTTTTTCTTTATTTTTACTGGTTATAAAGGAAATAATTGGTCATTGTAGAAATCTTAGAAAATGCAGAAAGGTATTGTTGACACTCATAATCCCACAATCCAGAGATAGACCACTTTTTTTTTAACCTTTGTTTTATTTATTTATTTATTTTTATGTGGTGCTGTGGATCAAACCCAGGGCCTCGAACACACTAGGCAAGCGCTCTACCCCGCTGAGCCACAACCCCAGTCCCTCAACCACTTTTTCTGGATGTCTATTGCTGGATAACAAATTTCCACCAAGTTCTGTCACTTTAACAACAATGATCATTATTATCTGTGGATTCTGGGAGTCGACTAGACTATGCTGTTCAGAGTTGGGGTCTCTGCTGTTGCAGTTACAGGATGACTGGAACTTCCTCATTCCTATGTCTGCTGATGGTGGCTGTTAGCTGGGGCTTCATCTGGGTCTTTTGCCAGATCACCTAGGTATGAGTTTTGCATGTGCTTCCTCCTGGTATGGGTCTTCTCAAGAAGACCAGGCAGAAGCTGTATTGCCTCCATCACAGAGTCAGGTAGACCTCACCCCTCCCTGGAGGAATCAAGGTTACATTATATGAACAGCCTAACTGATGGGGGATCTTGTGGCCATATTAGAAAATGCAATCCAACACACCATCACATATGTTTAAGGGCTATTTCTTCCTTGTCCTTTTCCAGTGCATATGTAATTAACATACGTAGGCTGAAATGATATATCCAATTGTGTATAAAGCTTCCTAAAAATCTAACATATCTGGGGCACTTGCCTTTATTAAAGTTTAAAAACACATTTTGTTTAATTATCCCATGGTAGAAGAGTTAGCAACTTTTTAATAGAAATGTGAGCTGGGCAACAGCATAGTTATTAATGGCCTTATCCAAGATGCTGCAATAATAGGAAAACAGATTTTTGTCTATTTTGTTCACTGTTCTATGCTAAGCACATAGTACAGTGCCTGGCATATAGAGGCCCTCTATAACCATTTGCTTAATGGTTGGATCAATGGATGGATGAGTAAAATGGTCTGAGCTGAGCCCCTCTGTCTCCTGTTTGCATGCTCCTGGAAGGAAAGAGACCAGGTCCCTAACCTACACCACCAGGTTCCTAGACATCAATACCTATCTGTTGGTCCTTTGATTGTAAGACAGGTAAATTTCAGAGGAGAAGCTCTCTTGTCCCCAGTGAGTCCTATAAACCATGACTCATAAACCTTCTGTTACTCTGCAACTTAAATCTCCTAGGCTGATTTGCCTTCATCCCTTGGATAAGTTTTAGATGCTTACTGCCTGGGCCTGCTCGGGTGGCCACCCCACAAAGTTTGGCAGAGGACAGAAGCCATTAAAGGAGTCCTTTAGGTCACGGGTCTGCCTCTGCTTAGCTTGGCCTCCTGTTCATTCTGCACCACCAGGATTCAGCAGCAGATATAGGGGTAGGAGATGTTGGGTATGTTCAGAAACCTGAAGCTCCCTGAGGAACCCCAGAAAACCCCCAAATAGCCAGGAGGGCAATCACCATCTCGCTAGAAGAGGGTCTTCCCCAGGGTTCCCTTGCTAATCCCTGACTGTGTGCCCCAAACAAAACCCAGCCTGGAGCTCACTGCAGAACCTGTATGCAGAGAGGGAGTTCTGATGTAGGGAGCAGAGTCAGGGTCTTGAGGTGAACTCTATCTTCTCTCTGGCTTTAGGCTCTCCTTCCAGCTCCATAGTCCAGGAACCTGGTGTGTCACCAGCCTGGTTCTCCTGGGTCTAAATGAGCCCAGGAAACTTGGGACTCTAGACCATCAACTAGCACTAGGGTTTAAATGGGACGTATCACGTTGAACCCAAAGAAATTGCTGTTCAGGAACATAGTTCCATTTCCGAAATTTCATGTGGTTCAATTTGAGGGTAAAAGGTGGACGTTTGTAGCAGGTTCCATAGCGAGGTCAGCAGAAGATGGACGTTAGCCTCCACTCCCCATCTGTGCCCTAGAAGACTCCCACTTTGGGTTCAGTGACTTGGAGCTTGGATCTGAGAAGGGAGACAGACAGCAAGGTTGGGAGCGGGAGGAGGGCAGGCAGGGAGGGCGGTGAGCTGCTTGCACTAGATAGAGAGGCCTATTCAGTTCTCCCCACCTCCTCTGCTCCTACAATCCCGACTCTTGAGAAGAGAATTAAATGTCCAGGGATGAGAAGCCAGGCAGCAGAGGGGGCAAGATATCACATAAACTTGACCCTATTCCTTTTGGGTCTTGGCAGAACAAGAAATGCCTACAGTAGAAACTTGAGCTTGCAGAGGATGGTGTTATTTCTTGACTGAGGAATCAGAGATATTGTTTAAAAAAAAAATTCTGTGTTTGGAGAGTTCCAAAAGCTCAACCCAAATTGGGAGTGGGAGGGTCTAACCACTGCAAAAGCCCATGCAGGGATGCCCCTTTTCCCCAATGTCAGAAAAGGTCACCCAACCACAAACCTCAGTACTTAGCTGTCCCACCAGCACACGCCAGATGGCAGTGCAAACCCAGACATGAGGAGGAAGTTGCCATCTGAGACTCCTCCGCAGCCCTTATGTTAAGGCGGTGCTGGAGGCCTCCGTGTTGGATGGATTACTGGCACAGTCTACAAAACCTTCAGGCACAGGAAGTCTGGCAAAGATGGGGTGGGGGCATGAGCCGCCTAACACGGCCAGCTCCTTGATCTTTAAAGCATCACCCTCAATTCAGGTTAGGAAACTATCAGACACCATCTTTGTTCCAGTCATAGTGCCAAGTGCAGGGGACTCAAAGTGAGTAAAACACTGTCCCTTCCCCCAGCTGATAGATATGCCAATTTCTAAGCATTCTTTTTTTGGGGGGGCGGGGTACAGGTGTTGAACCCAGGGGCGCTTAACTACTGAGCCACATCCTCAGCCCTTTTTTGTATTTTATTTAGAGACAGGGTCTCGCTGAATTGAGTAGTTGCTAAAGCTGGCTTTGAACTTAGGATCCTCCTGCCTCAGTGCCCCACCCTACCCCCAGCCTCCTGAGCCACCACGCCTGGCCTTCATCATTCACTTAATCCTGAGCATTGTGAAGCGCTATCACAATCCTCCCCATTAACAAATGAGAAATACGGGAAGGCATGGGACGGAGTAACTAGTCCAGTTAGTAACTGGCAGAGCTAGACCTTAAACACAGCCTCTCCAGCTTCCAAGCTGGGAGTCTTGCTGCTGTTCCAGAGTTCTCAGCAAGGAGAGGGTCCATTGTTATCTCAGTACCAGTCAGTCAGGAGAGCCCTGCAAGGGTGCCTGTCCCCAGAAGCATAAACATCCCTTTAGAATTGGATTTCAAAGTAGCATAAGATTTTTTAAAAATTAAGATTTTTTAAAATTATTTAACATTTGCAATATATAAAACAGACTTGTAGAGTCAGGATCCCAGCTTAGGTGAGTGGAACACCTGTGCTGTATGGAATAGGAAAGGAGAAGAAGGGGCTGATGGGCAATTCCTTGAATGTCAGGTTTATCCCAACAGAGAATGGGAAGTCACAGCCAATCCCTCATCTACGAATGACAAAAGTGGTGTGGGCTGCCTGTCCTCACGTCCTCCCTGAGATCTTCCAGGTCCACTCCCCACTGTCTCCCATCCCACCCCTGCTCTCTGCCTGAGAGGCTGACCTGTAAAGACTGCATCCCCCAGTTCCCATGGGAGGCAGGAGGCAATCTTCTCTGGAGTCAGATAAGTGGGCCCTGCAGGCCTAGAGGTAGCAGTGAGTCCTTGCTGTCCCAACCCTGGGATCCTGCTGCATCCCTTGCTGCTTTTGAACCCCACCCACACCTTTATGGCTGGTCTTTTACTGCACTCAGCAACCTCCATCTCCTTCTGACTGGAACCCTAGAGCTCTCAGGAGACTGGTCTGGGAGGGGAAGGCTGCTGTCTGACGAGGCTGAGCCTGGCATTGGATATGAGAAGTCAACCACAGAGAGGAGGCAAGGACAACACTAAGCCTTGTATCCTGAGGTCACCAGGGTAATGGTACAGGAGTTTCTGGGTGAGCTGGGAAGAGGAAAGAGGGGCAGCGAGGGAGATGGTGAAGATGGTTTCAGGCAGGCTGAGAGAGGGAGAGGTTGGATACTAAAGGAAGTTGAATGGACTTTTTCCTGTAGCCTGGAATTGGTACCTGAGGCTCCAAGTCAGGGACAAAGAAAATTAAGTAATCCATTTGTGTGTGTGTGTGTGTGTGAGCGCCCCACTGGGATTGAACCCAAGGAAGATCTATTACTGAGATACATTCCCAGCCCTTTTTATTTTTCATTT